AGGCTTTAGGCTGCAATAAATCCACTATCTTAAGTTGTTTGAGTCTCTGGAGATCATCTGCAACTCAGAGCTCTTCCTTTGTTTCTTAGGTTTGTTCTTTTAATCTTCATCTTGTTGTTGGTATTCTTTTTTGTTGTTGCCCATTTCCTTTGAGGCTTAGTGAAATCTGTAAAACACCTAAAATAGCCACTTAGACCAAGTACTGGCCAGTAGAAGTTGATAAAAGTCAATAAAATTTTAAAAATAAACATAATAAAATACAAATATGAATAAAAGCCACTGACCTTCTAAAACATCAACATACCAGAGAGAGAAAGGAGAGATTAAGAATAAAAACACAATAAGTCTTCAGGAGTGTTCAGTGAGAAGATGTAAACATGAGGCCATCTTAATTCCACCCCAAATTTGGTATTGTGATTTTAAACAATTTTATGATTTAGTGCAGTTATGTGTATCCAGTCAATTGTGGCTTTATCAAGAACCCATGGTTAAAACAAAGCATGGTTTAATGTGGAGCGTGGATCAGCAATAGAAAACAAAACTGCTTTCTCTTTTTGTTGTTCAGAGTTCTTGTATCTTTATTAGTTGAACAGATTACAATTTCAAAAAGCTATTTTGACAGGCAACAGGCGATGACAGAAGAAGGAAAATAATGTATCTAAGAGAATTCTGAAGCAGAAGATGCCTTCGAAATTATTTTTATCATTTTTAAAAAATCTAGCACTGATAGCTGCTTCATTTTAAGATATCAGAGATTGTGCTGCAATTTAGGAACATTTTTTTCCATAAATAAAAATTACAGAGAAAAACCAACTCTGATGTTGCTCTAACTTTTCATGCCAAGACCTACCTCACTTTTCCTGCCAAACATACAAACTATTCAAAGCCACATTGTTTTAGGTATATGTTCATGATCATTCATTTTGGATGAATTTATCTTCATGGACAAATGGCCTGCCATGCTTTAAAACACCTTTGATTAATTTATAAAAGAATTAAAAGAAAGGAAATCCCCACACAGCCCTGTAAAGTACTGTTTTCTGATTGGAAACAGATCACCTAGTGAAAATTAAGCTGAATTTGAATTATTCATACAAACTTTACACAGCTAAAGGCAATTTTTCTAACATCTAAGAGGTGGTAGTGATAATGTTACTCTATGACATCTGAGAAGCTAAAAACAACAGCCTGTCCTGGAGGAAATACTTAGGCTGTAAATACTGGATCTTGAGACAACTTACTAGGGCAGTGCAGTGGTCCAGATTCACAGAGCAAACTCAGTGTGTGCGCACACATGTAGCCCCTGCCAGAAACACCTTAAAACAACTGCATTTTTTCCTGGGCTCACACAGCTATCTTCTCCAGCTGCTGCATGACCCCAGCTGCTGCACCATTTTTCTGGGCTGAGGGCCACATCTGACTTTTGAATGGCATGCCAAGCACAATGTTAAAAAAATAGTTGGTCAGGCCAGGACAAAAACTAAATTTTATTTCATTTATAGTAAATTTAATTAAATGTAAACATAGTTAATATGGTTCATCACAAGGTACCTCAGAATTAGGTCTGGTTATAAGTATAAATAAATAATCATCTAATTATATTAAATATCACATTTTGATAATAACTTTTAGAGATTCCTAGGAGATATAGTGAAGGATTTCTTCTATGTTGGAAGGGAACATTTCTTGTCCTAAAGAACCACCATTGGAATTGCTTTCTATTAAATCAGGTGCTTAATAAATGAGTAGTAATGTGTGGGTAAACAAAAAAAGTGAACATATTTACTCTGTTAGCCATGGTTTGTTTAACTATGGTTTACTAAATTATCTACAATTGGCTGGCTTCACAAAACATGCTAAGCCACAAACAAGCAAACTAAATGACTTACCATAATATGGGAACCCAGCTATTGTAGTAAAAAAGTTCCAAAATAAAATGAAACTAAGAAGTATATGTAGTTGTAAATAAAATGATTATAGATGTGAAACAAGTACATGTATTCATTCATTTGATTCTGATGCTTCCCGACTCCAACTGACTCAAAGATTATTACCATTTATGTGGTGCCATATACTTTGAACTAACACAGATCATCGTTCCTATCAATGATGGCAAAATTGTGGGCTTCCAATTCTTTTTGTGGTGTGTTCTTTTATTTGAAATGAAAATATCTTATTTATGTTGTATTTTCTGAATATGAAATTGGGAAACAGTAGTTAGGGTTAGGGTTTATTATTTCAAATAATAAGTGCAGTTACAGTGAACTTACTGAACTTCAAGACATGAGCCCTAACGTAGTACCAGTGATAACTTCTGAAGTATACTTTTTCAGGAGAGTTTCTGTGCCTGCTGGCACAGCTATTACAAGATGAAATAATCAATACCTACATTGGCACTCCCCATCAAGCATTTTCTCAAAAGATAGAGTAGCTCCCACAGAAAGAGACCTTCGTATGAATACCAGCCAACTAACTCTTTTACACAACCCTGAGATATAGAGGGGAACAAGCCTTTGTGCTAGTTCACAGAAAAATAGTCACAGAAAAGCCTTGTACTACAATTCCCATCTTCTCTGCAAGTGTTGTTTTTGGCAGGCAGTGAGTGAAGATGTCACCCAACACAGCTGGAGGACACACAAATGGGAAAGGCAGTGGGGATAAACTTCACTGGGTGATGTGTCTGTTCTTTTTCTAACTATTCCAAGCAGGAATACCATATCTACTTTGCTTTTCATCAGATCATGCCACTGAGCATGAGAACTTGAGGCAACTTATAACAAAACACTTTTAAGCCATATAGGCTGAGTGCATAAAGGTTAGAAGTGATACCATAATACAGATTTGCAACCCTCACATTTGCAGCTTGATTTGGAATTTTATATACATAGAAGAAAAACCCAGGATGGGATTTCCTCACTTTTTCTATGTATATATTCATAGTTCTGCAGCCCTTTAACTACTATTTCAGTCAATCAGATAAATCAGCTGACTTAATATATATTAGGATTCAGGTAGAGGGCTTGTAAGATCTCAAGGGGATTGTGTGTTGCAAATGGACCTGAATGAAATTCCAACAGAACACATAACAGTAAGGTTATGATTTGCAAACCATTTACAGTAGTCCATAGCCTGCAAGAGATGATTCTGTACTACAATATGCCATTTCAAAGAGCATTGATGCCCCAAATTGAGTCATACAGCCATGAGCATGTAATTAACTCTGGTGTCCCATCATCAGAACTGGAAGAACAAGAACAAATAAACATGGACACAACAAGACAGTGCATGGATAGTAAGATGGCAAGAAGAAACATTTTGTCATGTGGTAGTCATGTCATCTCAATCTAAAGAGGCGATGGGTGCAAAACCCATGATTTGTAAAACAATCAGGAATAATGCTTCACATTTTACAATGGACTTAATCTTGCACTATTAGGTAGCAGCCAAGTAAAGTTGCTCAGTAGTTTCAGAGAAGGGCAAGAATGGTCAAAGGAAGGCCAAAGGAAGAACGGCTGGCTGGAAGGTTGGTTTTTTTTCCCTGTCTTTCAAAGAAGACCAACATTTTGGGAGATGATGATGATGATGGTGACTAAATGGCTCTCTCGGTGGCTGGGAAACTGAGTAACATCAAGTGACCACATTCTCAGCACGTGAAAGTCAGGTTGGGTAGCTGCAGACATTTCCACCTGTAACAAGGGTGCAGGATAGCTAGCTAGCCATCACAAAGACTCGCACCATGGGCACAAATTGTTGGAGGGAGAAGGGAACTGGAGTCGATGACCTGAGGTGGTGGATGCCACAAAGAAAGCGACCTCTCATGGAAGAAGGGGAACCAACCCGGGGAACCCCTAGATCCGTTGCGAAATCGAAGGACGACGGCAGCAAGAAAGGCCACAGAGAACCGAAGGCGAGAGGGCCAGAAGGAGCCGCTAAAAACCGAGCTGAAAAAACTTCGTCGAGGCTTTCCTCTGGCGATGGCAACGGAGCAGATGCTGAACGTGGGGTTGGAGCTGGGGGCCGGGAGGGGGGGGGAGAAAGAAGGGGCTTCAATTTCGAGGACGGGCCGAGGGGATCGCCTCCCCATTCAGGTCCAGGGGAGGATGAGAGAAGCAGATGGGGACTGACTG